ATACCAGGCTCTGACCATAGCGGGAGCAGCCAGGCCGATTCGCACAGTTTTCGGTGTTTTTGAAGACATGGATAAACTTCTAAGCTAACGGCTTACCTGTCCCTATAACGCTCAGCCTGGCACAGCTTAGCTGAAAGTATCGATGTGATGTAGAGAAGGAGTTGAAAGGTGCTCAAATTCTGGTCCTGTGAACCGCTTCACTTGTGTCGCGATGAGTCCCTACACTCATTCACTTCTCCGATAATTCTCTCATGGCACAACTTGCCCCATTTTCCCAAAGAAATGCCCCACATTCACACATGCGCGTGGGCTGGCAGTCATAGGAGCATTTTAGGAGCTTGCAATTCCTTGGAAAGGTGTGGGCCCTAACATCGCTACAATGTTATTTAAAGGCACTTTCGAAATTCAAAACTATCTTCAGCCATGCAAACAGCATTGTGATGCATGATGCAAAGCAAAAAAGTTATAAAGGCATGGGAAACTTTGGAGTGAATAGTTTTTAGAATGGCGAATACACTACGTCTAATTCCTCATTTATACTGGATAGTCATCGAGGATGGAAACGCAACAGTACCCTACGTTGGAAGAATCCTTCAACGATCTACGTTACCTTTCACCTATATGGCTGCGAAAACACCTGTGAACTACCCAGGTAACGTCCCTTTTCTAACAATTCATTCATTCCGTCAACACAGCCTAGATGAAATATTCCATGGCAAGCAAGTTGATTTTAGATTTTCGTCTCTTGCAAGGCAATACCTCTCTGCACGACTTGGTCTTTGTGCTCCCGAGTTTGAAACTGTCAGGAGGGGAAGCAGATGAGCAGCAGCAGCAGCAGCATGACCCTGTTGAACAGTTTCGCTGATTTCATTGATCCAGACTACCGAAAATCATTGCAGGGCGTGGATGGTATCAGCGATCTGTGGCTTTGCAGTATCTCCGGAGTATTTCCGCTCATATACTGGAGAAATATCGTTCTGCTGTCGTTTACTTTGCCGATGATGATAACGCTTATGACACACGCGTTTTTACTGATTACGTACGAAATGTGAAGAAGCTGGGAATGTGGGCTGTGGGTGAGCATTTCTTTCGTTTAGTATTAACTGCTGCTCTATGGAAATGTGTAAAAATTATTTTAGGTCTGTCCGGCGGATTTCCAGTAGGAATATCCAAAAGCCGTTAATGGCACAGTGGTTGGCTTTCACGCGTGGAGACCACAAACGCGAAAATTTGCCGTCGACATGGCTGGCTTCGCAATCAATTTGAAATTTGCCCTGCGGTTTGTGTAGCACTGATTAGAGTCAATATTTCACTTTGGAGACATCACAACTTTTATCTTTACCATTTCCACTTTTTTGAAGTTTCGAAAGTAGCACAAGCTTATCAGAAAACGCCTGAAACGGATCAGTATCGCTGTGAAGAAACCAAATAGTGGGAATCATTACTCAAACTATTGGTTTGCAAAAATCAAGAGTCGGAAAAAAGTGACTGTTCAAGGGTGTACTCTGGAATACCCAATATTTCTCAAAACTGCATTGCCAAGTAACAACCGTTTTGAGCTGCTCGTATGCTGTCTATTGTTTTTTGAGAGGCGGCCTCGATGAACGAAGCGAGCATTTATCTGACAAAAGGGAATAAGGGCAGAGTCTCCGCAGAATAGGGGCATAGTCTTCGCAAATGGATTCCATAGATCACCGAGAAGTACAGTGATGATCCCTGCAAACGATAGGTTGCATGAAGGGGAGTGGATTGGAGGAGAAAGGATCGGAGGGTCGTAAGCTTAATCCTCTGTCCTACTATTCTAACAACTGTGGCCATACTGACTCCGCCAACAAATTGCGCGAAACTGTTCTGTTGTGTGTTCAGCTCGATTCGCCCTATCGCTTTGTCATACTTGAGACAATCATGCTCTCAGTGTCGAGAGGCCAATATCTACGCTTTTCTAGAAGACTGTTGTGTTTACTATTCTCATAAGCCTTTCAAAATGTTGTCTTTAAGGCTGCGTTCATACGTGCGATCGTTCGTCCAACGTCGACGTAAGCCTGCAGTTTTCTGGCGAATTAGTTCGACAAATTATACCGTATCGATCCAACGAAAGCTGCGTAAGTTGCGTAACCGACGACTACTTCACGAAGAGTAGATACCTATCGATTCGACGAAACCGACGAAAGCTGCGTAAGTTCCGTCGTCGAATCGATACGTATCTAATCTTCGCGAAGTAGTCGTCGGTTACGCAACTTACGCAACTTAGCTGCGTTTATACTTTGCGGCAGCGTAGCGTAGCGTAGCGCAGCGTAGCGTAGCGCTTCCAGCGTACGCCAGCGGCAGTGCCGAAGAGAGGATGCATATCGATCTAGCTTCACCAGCGTCACCAGCGGCACGCTGGCGTACGCTAGCGGCACGCTAGCGTACGCCAGCGTTTCTCCAGCGTTTCACCAGCGTTTTGCTAGCGCTTGCAACGAGGGAGTAGAGACTATGGGAGAGCTGGAGGGTACAAAACACATCGATTGCGCGTCTCTCACTCGCCCTTAGTCTCTACATGCACATCGCTTCTGCGTCTCTGACGGCCTGTCTCTACAATGCACATCGCTTCTGCGTCTCCGACGGCCACATAGTCTCTACAATGCACATCGCTTCTGCGTCTCCGACGGCCACATGGTCTCTACAATACACGTCGATTCCGCTTCTCTCACGGCCACATGTCTCTACTCCCTGCCGCTGCAAGCGCTAGCAAAACGCTGG